ATAATAGAATATATTCTAAAATATTAAAAATAGGTTAAATATTCTCTAATGTCCAAAATATTCTTCAATAAGCAAAATAATTTTTTTCCTATGAACTTTGTGATGGATAAATCGTCTACATTTTTTATTCTCATAAAATTACATAAAGCCAATAAAAATATGTAAGAACCTAAAGATCTACTTTTTAAATTAAGTATAATTAATTAAAACTTTAAATACAATTCATAACAATTATTTGTTATATACTGAAAAAAGTAAATTGGTCATGGCTAGACGCATCGTACTTGATAGGAGTTCGCCATAAAATCTTTTATTATATAATTGTTTCAACGATAGTTTTAATTTGGGGATTATTTTTACGTAATTTATGTGTTGCATTCCAAAGTACTTAACAAAAATACGTAGACAAATTGATTAAAAAATTTGAGTTTATTTTTGATTTTAGCTGAGTCCCATTAAATAATGTCATATAAAATCTCTAAAAAAGACAAGGGAGAGTTTTGTAAAAATTGTAAAATCTATTTAAGATATTTATATTAGATTTTAATAAGTAATATTTAACTATCTAAAAAAGCAATATACTTAATTTGGTATTTAAATTCATTAAATTAAGTTAAAAATATTGTTTTGTTTAGAAGTACATTTAAGTATTTAAGAATATCTTTAAGTATTGAAAAAATATTATTAATTTTGAAACCTCCAATAATGTATAAGATATATTATTTAAAAATACTGAAAAAAAATGTTTTTTCAAAATTACATGTAAGTATTATAATATTGATTTTTCGTTGTGAATTATTTTTATAGGAAATACATTGTAGTTAGTAATATAGGTAATAAAAATTATTACAATATTATTTTTAGATTGTAGTTTAAAATTCATTTATGTACTTATCAGAAGTTAGAACTCAGAAGGTCAACTTGAAAATTGTTAAAAGATTATTCGAAGTGGAACTATAATGTGTAATATATTATTAAAAACTGGTTTCCAGTCGATGTGAGTTTTAATGATCTTATAATGTATATTTTGGAAATAAAAACAAATGTTTACTTTTTTTTTTTTTGTTTAGTAAAAACAATAAAGTAATAATAATTAATAGTGATTATAATTTGAATACTTATCAGTTAAGGATAATTATCTTATTAATTTTATTTATTAGACAGCTATAAGATATTTAATAAGTATCACAATAATATATCATTTAAATTACAATGTAGCCAGATTAACATGTATTGCTTCTATTTTGTTTATATGATTTAAAGCTATAAATATTTACTGTGATTTTATATTTCAAACTTTTTAGTTATATTATGTTAGAATAAAAAATTATTATCAATTAAAAAAAAAAAAAACATATAGATGATAAAATTTTTACATAAATATATGTAGTATATATTAATTAGAGTAATAATTTTAAAAGCTATTATAAGTATAAAAATATTCATGGATATCTAACCAAGTTGTTCAAAAATTAAACTATTGATAAGACTATAATGTTTGAGCGGATTATTATTTGTTCATATTATTTATTTTTATTGGCCATATTTTTGTTAAAATTAGGCTTAGAAAAGTTATAAGCATAGTTTATTATACTTAACAGTATACCTACACTAATGCATTTTATACATGTTATGTGGAAATCATTATAGTTTATATAACTGATTATTAGGTATTAATACGCATTTGTATATAAAAATAGTAGTTAGGGTTTATTTCCTATTTTTACGAACTTCTAATATTATAAAAATGAATAAATAATCATTTATGGTTACTTTTTATGAAAAGCTATTAATTATCATCATATATGAACATACCTAACAGCTCAATAATGAGTGTTATAATGAAATAGCGTACCTAGTGCAAGGTCTATTATCATTAATGAATTCTTTACAACCTCGTATATTTATGAGCAGCTTACATTTAAAACACATATAGCAAAAAATAACTCGTTTGAGAATTATATTATTTATATTTATTTTAAAATGTATATCACGAATTCATATACTATTTATCCCACTCTATGCCTATTAGAATAAACAAGTGCTCAATTCTAATTTTTTTGTTTCATTGTTTTTGTTTTTGTATAATATGTTTACGGAAATTGAATCAGTGTAGTTTTTATTAAATAATTATAGTTAAAAGAAGTAGGAAAAAAATGCCTACTTTCATAATAAATTAAATAAACATAAAAATAAATAAACAAAGACTTTCGTCTCAATTTTGAACCATGAAAGTTAATAAGTAAGAAATAAAACGAGTTAAAATATATAAATTAAAATACATTTTGATTGCGCGCTGACTGCGAGAGTTGAATCTTTGAAGATGTCCAGTTGTCATAAATGAAAAGCAGGTTTACACGAAAATATTATAATTTCAATAATAGTATTACGACCTTGGGAACTATTGTTTGTTTTGTAAAATATTTTGGATGGGGAATATCTCAATGAAATATTCTTAATTGCCCATCTTAATATTAGATTAATCATTGGTTTTACCATATGGAATGTGAGAAATTAGTTTAAGCATATAGGTGCACAAAAATGGTTCGATTCTTGTTTTCATAGCAATAAGAGTATCTATAAGGTACAATAAGTATACTATAAACATACATTTTCTCATACTTTAATTTTTATGTTATATACAAATGTATATTTATGTTATTAAGTTAACTACACTACATTGGAAAGTGTTATTAAAGACAATCACACACACACACACAAATAAATATATTTAAAACCGAGGACGAATAAACAATATAGGCATTTTTACTTAGTTAATACATATTATCCATAAAAAATAATTGAATAGAACGATTATTGCATTCTATACACAAAATAATACATGGAGACCACAAATGACAGATTGATAAATAGTACATTATCTCAACATGATTAATAATATACGTATTATCTGTTTCATTTAAATCTATTAGTGAATTTTAATAATACCATTAATATTGGTCGGTACTCTCAGCATATTCAGAAATTTTTTTTTATATTTAGTGCATTTATTGAATATTCACAATCTACAGTTGTGTACTGTAAGTAAATATGAGTATTGCTATAATCATAACAATTGTACCACTACAATTCTTTTTAAGAATGATGTTTTAAATATTGAGTTTTGACTACGATTATAAGAATTATGAACATTTTAAAATTATTAAGTAGTTATTATTTAGGCATTTTTTAATTTTAATAACTAAATGTTGATAATTTAGTACAAGGTTTCTCGTAAATTGTTCTTATAGAAATATTAAACTTAAAAAAATACATAGCATGCATTTTTTTTAATGGAAATTTAGATTTTTGACAAAATTGGGTACTTAATAAATAATGATTTTAGTTATTTTGTAATAACTTACAAGTTATAAATTAATAATAGCTAGGTTACCTACCATGTTACTAATTTATAAAAAAAATAGTTATAGCAATATAAATATACAACAATTTTTATTTAGAAATATAAACTGATAAAAGATTAACTGAGTTCCTGATCAAAATCGTTTTTTCACATGAAATAATGTACCATTTCAAGTTTTATACACAAAGCTAATGATGACTGATGAGATACACTTAATACTTACTTATAGCAGAGTGACTTCCCGGGTTTTAACTGAATATTAATTATATAAACATAATAGTTTATCATAAAAAAAAAAAAAAAAAAATTATAAATTAAATAAATGTTTTTACAATTGTTTAGATCATTTTTTAGTAGACTTATATTGTAGAAGTCGTTTTTAACATTAAACGTTCAATGAATTTTTAAGTAAAGATTCTTTCATTATAAATTAATTTTTCATGAATTATGTATGTTATGTTACAGGATATATCATAAACACTGCTATTATTTTCAAATATATTATGCTAGAATTTTGTTTTATTTGTTTCGTGGAAAATATAAAAATTAATAATTAATTAATTACAATGAAGAAAAAAATTGATAATATATTAATAATAAAAAGGACGTATTATTATTATTGTACATATAAAAATATTATTCTCAACTCAGGTTAAAGAAAAGTAATGTAAATCTTTCTATTTATTAATTATAATAATATAACTATTTTTATAAACTATTTTGTACACTTATTTATATCTTGCTCAACATTATATACTTAACTATTTAAACATTTTAAACTCAATAATCAGTAGTTTATTATGAATTTTAAAGAGTACCTTTTCAATTTATAATCAACAATTTTTGAGATATTTAAAAAGAAAAAAAACCATAATAAGACATAATTTTATGATAAATTTTGTATTTGCATATTATATTTCAAAGTATATCTAACATAAAATATTTTCTAAAAATAAACTTAAAAATCTAAATAACACAATAAATTATAAGTGCTTCAACATAATTAATCTGATTTTTTTATAAAAATATTATACAAGTGTATAATATCTTAAAAATACCACATCTAAAAATACCTACTAAATTAATAACAAAAGATGAGCTATGTGAAATCGTGAACAATTTGTAGAGGTTTTTTAATATGCAATTTAAATATAGATACTCAATATATTCTGTTGTTGAACAAAAACTTTTTTTTCATTAATAACGATCAAAATCTAAATCATTAGTTTTTAAATTAAAGTTTTAAATGTTGTAACTACTCGTAACTGACGTTTAGACAGTTTCAAAAAAGAAATATACGTATATATTTTTAATTTTATTAATACTCCACATTTCGTTTAAGCTGTAAGACTTAAAAAAATTCTATGAATGTTAAATCGAATTTATTATTTTAGTTCCGTGCCCAGCTATAAGAATAATTAAAATACTTATAAATGTTAAATAATTAGAAATTAATTAATTACAATTCATTTTGATGTATAGGTATCAAAATATTATTTATTATGAGACTTGTACATACCAGCCAAACGAGTTTGTAAATTTAATCCCTATAATATTAATTAAAGTGAAACAAAAAAGTAGGGAGACGATTTTCTGTTAGAACTGAATCCAATAATTAAAAGCGAAAAACGTTTACAACGTTTAGATCATAGTCAGACTGAGTAGTTTGAAGTTTGTCGTGATCGACTGTAGTTTAATTAAGTTTATCCGATAAAAATTGTACAATATGACTGCTAATATTTTAAACATTGTTTGTGGTCTTGTGTACATTTTGATCGTGTGTATAAATGCAGCTCCATCAACAAAATTACGTACGTATCAAATTTTATTTGTATATCAATCATAGTACATGAGAGTAAACGAACATCAAAATTCGTTACTTAATATGATATTTTATACTTATTGCTTATTACATTATAGCCTAAATAATTTTAAAACCTACTACATAATGTTTTTAGTAATCTTTCTTTTTATTTTTATAATAAATTAATATAATTGTTATACAATTTACGTATTCTGATTTACTTATTATAAATTGTATAGATTGTAAATCAAGTTTAAATTAATAATAATAGTAATTTAAGTAACTTGTGGATTAATAATTTTAATTCACTGTGGTTAATAACATTTCAAGCGTTGTAGGCGCATTTCATTGCATTTCATGATTATCACAATTATTATAGGCATATATATTATTGTGTCAGGAAAGTACAAACGTTTTTTTTAAAATTTACATTATATTTTTTATCTCTTAGACATTAAGTTTTTTTTGTAAATTAATTATTTTGTATAAGAATACCTCTATATTCCGTAAAAATTTGTATTGCTTTAATGGTTAACAATTAATTTTTAAAGTTTTTTTAATGAAATATTTTTCTTTAATTTAAATTTAAATGTTAAAATAAATTATTTTAGAATTTTTTTTTTTTAATTGAGTAAATTTATATTTTTGTAGATTAATTAATTTTATGTTTTAATGGTGGATGTATATTTTGTTTTATTTTAATTTATAAATATTATTATTATATCGGCATTTATACTGTACATATTATTATAAACATAGTTTATAACAACAACGTTTAAATTTTATCGAATTTATAACTTTTATGTATTTTAAATTATATTTCATATCCATAATATGCCATATGGAAAATTATAAGATTGTTTCAATGATTAAATTAAATTAAATTGCAAATTAGAAAATTAAATTCGTTATTATTTTTCCGTTCTGTCTGGCAATTGACCAATATGTTATGATACGAGTATACTAACAAACTATTGATATTTTAAATTATATAATGTTAATAATAATGTTGAATTTTTTTTTTCAAATTTCATGTTAAATAAAAAAAAAGAATAACTATTTAGCTTACTGTCACTTTTAAAACATACTTAATTTATGGTAATTTTCATTATTTTTTTGTATTTTAAAAATAATTCTTACTGAAAAACAAAATTTGGATTTATATTTAATTATTTAATAGTTGATGTTTGAATTATTAATTCGATAAATAGTATATTATTTTAAACTATTGTAGCTATATTTTTTACATATTAATCTAGGTGAATAAATCATTTATGATTTAAATGTAACCAATGCGATTTTCTTTTACACATTAAACACATTATTTAAACATTATTTTTATATTTTAATATTATTGACCATGTATTATACTGGCATTCAATAATTCTAGCCATAAAAACTATTGAATAAAGATATTCCTTAGGCATTGTGGACTGGAATTTTGAATCGAAATTATTTTAATTCCAATACGTCCATACACTATATGATTTTATAATGTATGATGAATGCTAATTTTGATTATAATTTTTTAATAGTGATTTTTATGGATGTAATATATTTATATTTTAAAATTTTATTTTATTTCACATAAATAATTCAAATTTTAATATTTTATTGTTGCAGCTAAAGGTTTTATTCAATGCAAACTAAGCGATCCTAATATTGACGGATGTATAATGAATGCAATCCAAAGTGCTATTCCGCATTTGGCAAAAGGTAAAAATAAACATAAATCTAATATAAAACATATCTTCTTTTTTTTTTGATTCTTAGTGAAGTGATGGTTACAGTATTTTGGTTCCACAACGATATGTACATTATTTATTCACTAGGATAGATTCTTTAAATAAAAAATACTTTAAACATATCATGAAGTACTGTTATATGTATTGAATATTAAATGAAGTCGCTATTTTTTAATACTTTGGGAACTGTGGTCAATATTATTTAAATTATATAAACGTTTGGTAAATTTCTAAACGTAATTTTACGATGTTTTTGAGAATTTAAGTTATTTTCAATTTTTAAATAAATATTAATAATTTTTTGTAAATGTAAAAAATTGCTTTAAAAAAAGGTTTCGGGGTGGTGGAATGTGGTAAAATGACTTAAGTACTCATCCTATATCTTACAGTTTTTCTAGATATATACATATACATATTATATAAATATATCATGACTTATTTAGGTGTACCAAGTTTGGGAATTCTCAAAATGGATCCATTGCGAATTGATAAATTGTTAATCGATCAAGGTACGGGTCCAGTTAGCATTAAACTAGATTTTAAAAATTTGGATATTTTTAACATCAAATCTATTATTTTAGATAAACTTCAGTGAGTATTTTTATCATTAAAATTGTGTTTTTAATATTGTATCTATATTTATCTATTGTAGTTATGACCCAGAAGTTTATAGTTTGGATGTTGAGTTACATCCTACAAAACCTATAGCTTTGGAAGGTGATTATGAAATATCTGGAAAGGTATTAATTCTTCCAATTGTAGGAAAGGGAAGATGTAAAATTAATATAGGTAATGTTATAATTAATAACTAGGAAAAAGAATATATTTTATTTTTTATTTATTTTTATAGAAGTTTCAAAGCTTGTTGGCACTGTTCAAACGAAACCAGTACTAAAGAACGGAAACAAACATTTAGAAATTGTAAACATATCATGGAAATTCACAGCTACAAAAATGAATATTAAACTGGATAATTTGTTCAACGGAGATAAAGCTTTAGGTAATTCATGAGTTGTGTTAACTTAAGTTATTATAAGGTAAGGTTGTCAAGATTTTTCAAGGATGTCATGTCCTATTACAGCATTTAAATTTTTTTAGTAATTAAAAAAAATAACAGAGTTATTTGTATGGTAATTAATGTATATAGAATGATTTTATAAAGTAAAATATTAGCATTTGTATAATAAAAAGTAAGTATTTAGAAATAAGGGATAAAGTCAGTTATATTACTGTTTGAAATACCTAGAAGCTAAAAATAATAAGCAATAAATATTAATAATTATTGTAGTATTTATAAAATTATATTTTCCTATTAATATTTAGCCTAGGTATAAAAATAAATCTTTTGATTTTAAGAAATAATACACATTTTAAACATAATTTAAGATTTTACAATTACTAATTTAAACTAAGATTAAGAAATACAATTGTGTATTGATTGAAAATAATTAGAAAATGATCTCTTTTATTCCTATTTTATATGATGAATTTATAGATGATGACAATTTTCAAAATATTTTGAATATTTTTTGGGTGTAAATAGAATTTAAAAATACTTATACCTATATTTTAAGTTATATTTTTAATTAAATAATAATATTTTTTATAAAAAATAAAAATATAATAAAGTGTTTCAATAGGTTTTTGAACTTAAGTTAAAAATCTTTTATCGATTTTTTAAAGCATTTACAATTTGAATTTCAACAATTATAATTAAAATAATTGTCAATATAATATTTTTAACTATTGTTTTTATTAAATTTAGAAAATTTACTAGTTCTTTCAGCGAGCTTTTGAAATTTAGTATTAAACTTAGAATCTTTTTACAAATGCATTGATTTTTTATTGATTTTGTGCAATATTTTGTTTTAATACTGTTCCTATAAATTTGAAGTAGATTAGGATTATATTTTTATGTGGAATAGTAAAATTATTATTAGCAGAGCTCGGATTTTGTAGTAAAATAAATCCCTAAAAAGTATTTTCAATAGCCCAAAAAGCCAAAAAAAAATATTTATTAAATTTAATTCTAAAAAAAAAAAATTAATTATACATACAATTAAATATTAAAAAAGGAATTTATGATCATATATTTGGTCAAGTAACTTTCATTAAAACTCATCCTTTTTGAGTGCTAATAACGATTATAGAAAAGTTATTTAGAACATTATACCTCACTAATTGATATTACCGGTCAACTAAAGTATTAGAATGTGCTATAAAAGTACGTAAATATTATTTAGATAATTTTAAAAAAATGTACAATTTCGGTACAATAACGATAGTTATTTTATCAATCATCCATTTATATTTGGTTTTTTCACCAGTTTTATAATCTGGCAATAATAATATAGTATTTTTAGTCTATAACTTATAAATAAGTTAAATTTTCAAGAAAAATATGTAAAAATTAAGAAAAAAGAAGTAGATAGGGTAAAAAGTAAAGGATATTTTAATATTTAATAATAATTCATATAGATTTTGTTTTTTCATAGAATAAAGAGTTTACTCTCTACAATATTATTATATATTTAAAATTTTAAAATTAAATATTTAAATGTATTAATATTATATTTTAATATATTGCAGGAGATAACATGAATGTATTCTTAAACGAGAATTGGCGTGAACTTATAATTGAACTGCAACCGGCTATTGAAGAGGTTTTTGGTTCTGCCTTTAAACAAATCGGTCAACAATTTTTGAACCGTATTGCGTTAAATCAATTTATCTTACCTTAAATTTAGATATCTTGGTAGTTTTTTTTTTATTATTCATTAAGGTAAATATGTTTTACAGTTTACAATTAATGATGAGCATAAGATGTTTTATGTATATTATTTCGGTAAAACGAGTAATTTTTTTGTTATACAATTTATAATCGATACAACGAGTATTTGATTGATTTAAATAGTCATTAAAATGTAGTTTATAGGTGAAATGAAATTATATTTAATGTCACCACTGTAGGTATTTATTTATATTTAATTATTTACAATAATACAGTGAATTAAAACAATATGATATTGTGTTGAGTTTTATTTTATGCATATTATTCCATTATTTGATAATTTAATACAATTTATACAGCGAATTTACTTATAGTTAAAAGGTAAATTTATTTATTTTTAGTATGGAAATAAAATAAGTACCTACTATTAAATTTAAATATTTTTTTATCATATCCAATTTTTTTTATACGTTTTATACTTAAAAATAATTAAATATTGTATTTATATTATTGAACCTATAAAAACAAACAAATAATATTATGTTATAATTATAAATTATCAAAAAAAATATATGTATATAAATCAAAATTAAAGGAAATAATATATGTATATTTGAGACATATTACATTTTATTTATGTTACCTTTTACAATCTTTAGCAGGAACTTAGAATTTTCAGGATTTTATGTAGACTAATAGATTTGGCTATGGTTTTTCAGTTTAAATCTGAATAATTTAAGTAAATATGTATAAAATACCATTGATTAGTTTTCTAAACGTAATGCTTTAGTGAATTTGTATTTCCTTGGTTTTTTTTTAGTTGATGTAATAAAAATTGACATTTATTTAATTATTTTAAAGAATATAAAATTTAATTTTCTTTTATTAAAAATTATTTTAATTTAAGTTGGTTAAAAAAACAAAATTACTTAAGTCAATAAAGCGTCTCTTTTTATAATAATTTGTAGAATTATCAAAATATAAATCTATAAAATATCTATTTTGAATGGATTAAGACTTTTTGCCTATTTTTTTTCCAATATTAGAAAAACATAATTGTTGTAGGTAATTTTATTTATTTGTACTAAGTATATATTTTAATATTATATTTAAATGTATTAGGCATTAAACAGGATACGTATTTTCATAAAAAGAATCAGAATACTTGTATGATAAATTAGCTTGAGGAAGAGTTTTGTAGAATAATCGAAATCAGAAAGTTCAAAAAAAAAAAAAATGTTTATTAATAATGCACACTGCACACATTATAGGCGTGCACATTATTGAATAAGATACACCTTGCATATAGCAGCCGCATTTGAAATAATTAATGGTATGTATCATATTATTAACATTATTTATTTTATCGTTGTAAAAATATACTAACATCTTGTTAGACTAGTCTTTTGACCAATATTTTTTGTAATAGATTTATATTCAATATAGTAGGGATTGAAGGTTATGTTATCTGTTTGGGTTTTAGAGGTGAATAGAATTATCGCATTTTTCTTTAATCATTTCGCTTAGGTCTTTCCGTTAAAAACGACGCAATAGTTCCTTTATAAACGGATACCTAAAGTGCAATAGGATTCAGTTTCAATAAGTTAATTTTGTAATCTTGCACATAAAATTTATACAAGATGTCTAATATAGCTTCTTTTATTGTGAAGTTTGTTTGTTGTCTTTCGTACATTTTCATTGGAACCATACACGCTGCCCCTTCTACAAAATTGCGTAAGTGAAAAATATTCAATAAATAATTTGAACGAACATTAGTGGGGTTTTAGTTATCACTGATATAAATTATTTAATTTGAAGACTGCTAAAAATTAAATAGCGAAAAGAGCAGACATGTATAAATTGAGTGTAGTAATATTATATATTTAAATTCATTATTGAAACATGCAAGATGTAAAAATATGATAATTTTTTAAATAATACAAAAATTAATATTTAATTAAATTTTTTTTAATTTCAAGTTTTAACATATTTTATGATAATTTCATTGAATATTTATTATTTTTTAACTTTGATTTTTTTGAAATATAAATGTTAATATTTTTTAAAGAAAAAATTTACATATCATCTCAACTTCGTAAAATTGAAGTTAGGAGTATGTTTACTGTAAGTTGCTAAATATTATTATTATTAAATTTATAAATCGTTAATATAAATACGGCTAAACTTTTTTTTATACTGATACTGAAAAAAAAAAACAAAATAATAACCTAAGATAAAATTAACATTTTTTTTTTATATATTAGTACTGCTATCCATACAAAATTAGTAACATAAAATATTAAAAACATTAAAATTTTCTAATATGTTATAAAATTATAGTATATTATAAATTTGACAATGTTATTTATTGTAAAATTCATAAAATATATTCAATGATTCACAATATCGCCAATATTGAACTTGCGTAGTATAATACAATTCATAATATACAATAGAACGAAAAAAAAATAATAAAACTTTTCGATAATATTAATTTATATTTTGATATTGGATTCTTTAGAATTTTAGAAGGACATATTTTTAATGAACAAAAAAAGGCGGTTATTTAATTTTTTTTTATTATAAAATAGTTAGGAATAAAAATTATTTTTTTTGAAAAAAATTAATTATTTTTCGGAGTTTAAATTGATTTAACGTTAATGTAGTTTTTTGTTGATCACGAAAATTAAACAATATGCCATACAAAACATTTGAACATTTGAACTTCAAAATATTTAAAAATGTATTTACTTATATTATAATTAAATATATCTTGAGGAAGTTTAAAATTTTTTTTTAGTCCTTGACACCATACTCAAGAATCTAAGAGTTAATTTCCGATTCTGCCATTATCTACCGGAAACCCATTTATTATTTAGAGTGATGTCTCTAGACCGGTTTGAGCAGTAATTTTTCAATGTCTATGTCAATAAATTTGTATGTATATGAATTTGTTTTATTATGAAGCCAGTACCTATTCTACTTAAAGCGTCCTTCACATTATAACATTATTGAGAGTATATAAATTGATAATATTATTATAATATAATTAAAAAAAAAATTACGCAAGTTTATTCCATGTTTTTATTTTATTAAAAAATTTTGAATAATCATCATGGCCACTACTTAATCATGGCTATTCATTGTTATATAATTACGAAAATTTTATTTGAATACTAAATTATGTAAACGATTATTCATAAGTTTAAACTAAATAGAATAATAAACATAACTATGGTTAAATAGACTATTTTTAAACTATTGAAAAAAAAAATAAAAAAAATGCTTGAATTAAAAGTACAAAAGCACTAGAAATAAAACTTATATAACTGTATTATACTACTTATGTCTATAATATTGATTTAGTAATTTATACTTTTAGTATGATATAATGATATTGTGATTATGATGTGAAATTTACTTAAAAAAATCATATTATATTTATTTTTTACTCTCAATCAAATATTTATTTTTTGAATTTTTATCCTAGTATTTTTGTAATTTTTCTTTTTTTAGAAAAAGGTTTTGTGCAATGTAGATTAAGTGATCCAGATTTAGGTGAATGTTTAAGAAATGAGCTACAAAAGTCTACTGCTTATTTTTCAAAAGGTAAAATTAATCTAAAACTGTGTAATTAATATTTTGTATTAATTAAATGATATATGTTTTAAGGTAGTCCGAGTCTTGGAATACTCCCGACGGATCCATTGAGAATCGATTCATTAGAAATAGATCGAAGTATAGGGACTCTGAATATGAAGTTCAAAGATCTAGATATTTTAAATTTGAAATCGTCAATTATTAAGGGATTGACGTAAATAATGCTAATAAGAAATGTTTTAACAAATTAAATATTGATAAATTATTACAGATTTGATCCAAAGAACTTTACACTTAAGATCGATCTAGTTGCCCAAAAACCAATTGTAATGGAAGGTCAATACGCAATAAGTGGTAAAGTAATTATTTTACCCATCAATGGAAATGGCACATGTAGATTTGTTTTAGGTAATTTAAAATTGTTAAATATTTTACTGTATTATTGTTTACAGTTTTTTGAAAAAGTCTATTAGCAACAGAAAACTAATAACATGGATTTTTATTTTTAGACAATTACAAATCATTTAGTGTTATTAAAATGAAACCAGTACTTAAAAATGGTAATACGTATTTAGAAATTATAAGTGCAAATTTTAAATTTACTACTTCAAAAATGCATTTAAAAATGAATAATTTATTTAATGGAGACAAAGTTCTTGGTGAGTATACTCATAATTTTTTATAAGCCTATTATTAGATAATTGATATTTTTAATCTTTTTTATTAATTTTTACTAAATATAATTTTCATATTTTACACATACCCTCGAGTTATAAAAAATACGACAAAAGACTCTGTTAAGTTGTAAATTACAGTCTATGTTCAATTTATTAATGTTTATACATTTTATATTTAAATAAGATATATCTGTTTTATTCAACACTGTGTATCAAAAAAAAAAAGAATGCAATATTTAATGATTAAAAAAAATATATTTTATATTTCTATACCTACTATTACTAAATTTTTTATATTTTCGTAGAATGGTGAAAATGTTGAGATTTAAATATTTTACTGTTATTAAATATGGTTGTGATTTAAGTATATAGGTATTTAAAATTTTTGATAAGACTAAAAAATAATGCTAAATATTCCAAACTCACAACATACGTTCAACGTAACAGACATGTATTTAAATTTAGTTATTTTTATAAATTTATCATAAATTATTTTTAAAAAAATTTTCAATACCTTTTTATCATAAAACTGTTGACAGATTATGTGTACAAAATCAATTTCATATTATAACTGTTTAGATAATTTGAGTTTATTTGTTGATAATAAATTTTTTTTATGTACCTAGGTGACAACATGAACTTATTTTTAAACGAGAATTGGATGGAATTGTTACATGAAATGCAACCAGCTTTTGAAAAAGCATTGGGAGTTGCTTTTATTTCAATGGGACAAGAATTTTTTAATAGAGTACCATTAAATCAAATTTTTATAGATTAAATATGATGTAAATACTTATCATAATCTCAATATTTTTAATTTAAAAATAAGTTAATGAACCACCATGTCATTTAATGTATAATTTTAAGTATAGCTTTTTAAGTGTTGTTCTAACTGAATGATATTACTAGTAGTTTTGTAGATTAAATTAGTAATTTTGAATTATGTAAATAATGTTTTCCATATTAAATTCTTATGTATGATATATATTGCATTTGCCAATAATTTTTCATTAGTTTTTAAACAATCAGTGTTAAAATATAAGAAAACTAAAAATCAGTTCATACTATTAAATATTTTAAAAAATGGATTTTACGTTTAAAGATGCAACATTTGTTCAATAAACATTTAAAACATTAAATAAAACGAAACAATAAATGCATAAATTATACAAGTTATATTTTTCTTATTTAACAAATAAATATAATTGTTATAACTATATTATTTTACAATATTTATCATTTCACATCAACAATTATAATTATGTCAACCAATATATAATATAAACTAGTGGTGGATATGCTTATGTATATTACATCATGACGGTCGTGTAGTTTGGTGTTCACCTTAACACTACGAATAATGTAACTAATGAGTGGTAATGACCATCACACTATGCCACGAAAATACCTTGACGGTTATCTGAACATTTTTTTTACAATTTTAGTTGGATAAAATTATACTGAGTGGTTCATTTATTAAATAAAACTTATTATTTAAAATTTTATTAAATGATTAAAAAAAAAAAAATTACTTAATTTCTTAACATTAAAAAGATAATTATAAATAAAACAAATCTACAAATATGTAAACAGGTATAAACAAATACTGAGCAAAGCATTTTTCCTGATATCATAAAATTGACTGTGTTTAAACCCTTATTTTAAATTAGGGATAAAAATGTCTATGAATAATTATAGACCAATATCCATACGAAGTCACTTTTCAAAAATATTTGAAAAATTATTAAAACTAAATTGATTAATTTTAAGAAAAAATAGTTTGTTGTCAAAAAATCAATACGGTTTTAGGCTGGGTTTAAGCACAGATAATGTTCTGTATCAAGTTTCTCCATTTCTGTATAGTAATATTTAGATAATAATGATAAAACGTTGATAATATTTGTAGACTTATTCAAAGTGATACAGTTAACCATGATATTTTATTGAACGAATTATCTTAATTTTGAATAAATAGTTCAAGTTTAAATTAGTTTTATAGTTACTTATGTAATAGGAAACAAATAGTGAAAATAAATTAAATAAATGGTAATATGTGTGTAATTAAATATGGTGTACCATAGGATATTATTCCAGGATTAATTATTTTTACTACATACATAAATGAAATCTGTGATATTGATATTGATGAATCTATAATCACGTATGCTAATGATACTTGTTTGATTTTTTTCTCATTAATCTTGGGATGGTGTGTATGAAAAAGTCTACAGAGGTTTTAATTAGATAATTAATAAATCTAGACTTAAATGTGGAAAAATTGTATCCACGCCGTTCTCAATTATTAAAAAATATGTCGTTTATTATAATACTTTTTCAATTTATGGCTGTGATATTAACAGAATTTGTAATTCACAGAATTTTAAAATTATCAAAAAAATGAAAATAATTTACTACTTAAATGTAATATTTGATATTAACCTGAGATGGAATATACATATTAACAACTTATTAAGTAAGCTTCGTTGCATAACCTACAAGTTAGTTAATGTTAAAAATATGGTTTCAAAACATACAATAAAAAAAATTTACCATGCACAGTATCAGTCTAATTTTCAATATGGTTTATTAGTATGAGATGGCCTTCGTAATAACATACTAAATGCATTAGTAATTAACAAAAGTTATGTTGTCAGAATTTATCTGACAAAATGTACTTTAAAGGATCTATGAATGAAAATTATAGGCGATTTGGTGTTTTACCAGTTGAGTGATTATACAAAAAAAAAAAAAAAAAAAATAAAAAAATAGTAATAATATATTTATTGAAAATTATTAAATTAAATAATCACTATAAGAACTTAGGCGATAAAAGAGAGATTTACAAATTATGACTTTCCTGTTAAATATACTAATAAATCTTTTGGTCAGTCTTTTATAGACCACTTGGGACTAACAATTTTTAATTCTATTCTATTTGAGTTTAAAAAGAATATAATATAGGATGATACTATGAATGTTAAATATATATTAACTATTTATCTCTGAAATTGGGGAAGAAGACTACGTTAAAGTATGTTTGGTTTTTCTTTGTCTATTTATTTTTAAATGTCACGTCATATTAAGTTTATTTTATATTATGTTCATACAGTTGTGAAATTTTTATATTTATATTGTTTAAATTGTTATGTATATTATTATCTTTTTATTTTATTATAATTTAATTATTTTTTATTTTTAACTATAATAACTCCCTCTCTTATCAATAACTGTTACCAAAATTATAATTTCTGTTATATTGGATACTGGCTTTATTATATAATATATTGTAATTAATTTTTTCTGTTTTAATATCTTGTAGCTTGAATACTAGTGGCTATTAATAGAAAAAACTTACCCCCTCTCTCCATTCAACACAAGCTGTCAAGCTTAAAAGAGGGAGGATAATTAAAATTTTAATTTATAAAAAATTTGTTTTGAAAAAAATGCACATTCTTACAATATGAAAGTAATTTGTATATTTTAACAGGTCATAAACTCATAACCCATATTTAGGTATTGACATAAAGTTAGAATAGCTAAATTGTGTGGAAATGAGAAATGTTTGTTTTTTACCGTCACAACTTTGCATGCATATATGTAAGTGAAATGTATAGGGATAGTATCATCACCTATATTGTGTCTATGTACAGGTACAGTTACTTGATATTTTTATTCTTTAACTGTTTTTAACAGGTAATTTTCAATCAATAAACGTGTCATCATTTAAAATTTACACAATGTTATAAAATATAATTCTTAATATTAATTATTAAAGAACATTCATTATTAAAAAATCTATTAACGTAGGTATTTAAATTTTTTTTTACTTAATTTTCAATCAGAACAGTTTTTTTTTAAATTTTCGAAATAATAAGTGTTGTATGATAAAAGAATCGTCTTGTATTTTATAATATTGTAATTAATATTTATTTATACTTTTAAATGGTTGTTCCCATTACACTTATTTTAATATACACAATATAACTAATACATTTTTTAATTTTATAATATTTATATACATTTACAGAGCTACTTTACAAATATTTGAATGACATGTATTCTGATTCCAAGTTACCTTTTTAAACAGTAACAACAATAATGGATTTCAAATCAATTAATAGGGTACATAAACGATTTTAATACTTTTAATCAGGTACTCGGATATTAAAACACTACAGGCATAAAATAACCAAATACATTTTTCACTTTGCCCAGATTCTCAAATAATTATTTTATCTAAATTTGTTAAACATTAAATGAGTAATTAATTTCTTTGTGTCACCTAGCTTTTCTCGTAAATGTATAATATATATTTGACGTTTTACGTGTTACCTTAACCTATAGCACTTTTTTGTTTTAGAATTGGTTATCGTGTATGAACATATAACGATTAATGATTCATATCAATTATTTATCACACCTATTATACACAGTTTATTGGAAGTTTTGTGTAAATAGTTTAAAAAATATATTAGAAAAATGGAACTAAAATCATTATTTAGTATAAATGATATAATCTCATTACACAAAAGTTTTTGCATTGTGTATCAATCTATATTCAATTGTTAACGTCAATTATACATAGGTACTAATTTTCGAAGTTTATAATATGTATCTTTAAGTTTGTGGAACAACATTGCAGTACAATGTACTAATCATATAAACTACATATCTATCGTGTAAATTCAATTAATTGGAGACAATTTTTCTTTTGTTTTTTCTGCGATCAATAAAATTTTGGAGAACAATTGAAATCTTTAGTAGAATAACATTTTGAATGATTTTGAATGGTAGATAATAAATAATATTTTAATATTCAATTAAAAAGTACGTGACGTTTAAAAGAGTACCCCATACTCACTTAAAATAATGCTATCAGACATTAATTTACTAGGAAAAGTTGTATAGGTAATCACATACGTGCTGATAGTTTTTATGAAGGAATATAAATCAAATAAATTAGTAATAGGTACTCGTGTATATCGATTGACATAAAAAAATGATAAAGAACAAAGGGTTTTTTAAAAAAAACAAGAAAAATTGATTATACAGATGAGAGTGCATATGAATTGAACTAATTAATAAACACTTGTCTGATTTAACAAACAATATAAATTAATACCTAGGAAATTGGATCAAATACAGTAGGTATTCAATTTATTTTGATCATATTTATATAAATTAATAGTGATATAATCCAATAATACCTCAAAATCTACACATTATTAAAAAATTTCATATTATATTTATATTTTATAACAAAATTGAAAGAACCACTGAAATTAACTAAAGTAGAAACTTATAATTATTAAAGTATGAACCATAATAATATAACTATATTTAACAAGTTATTATGTATATATAAATACCTCTAAGTTTATCATACACTTTAAAAATAAATACTATAATTGTTTAAATCATAACTATGTATAACATAGTTATAATGTTTTATAAAAATAGACATTTCAAAAATACATTTTTGGATTTAAAACTACTACAAAATATTATGAACGTATTGTACGAGTACTATATGGTATTACTTTCTATATAAATATCAATTTTTATATGAATTCATTACAGAAGAACTGTCTTTCCCACTTTATTCCACGACATGGCCAAGGAAAATACAAATAAGTTTTTGCACTCTTTTACGTTATATTTATCATATTTATATATTATAGGGTAAGAGTGTGGCTCATAAAATTTCTAAAAAATCGAAGATTTTAATCATCAATGTGTTCGAGAGCAGCCAGCAGTGTAAGTTATTGTACAATATAAAATATTATATTAGTCGGTATACGGAATCTGATTCGG